AATATGTCAATTAGTATACCATCTATTCCTGGGGCCTTATTTTTTGCTATTTCCTTCAAAGCAGCTTGAACTTCTTCATCACCATAGGCTCTGGCTCCTATGTTGTTTCATGAAATTCTTCTGTGTCTGCCAATTCCTTTCGATAGAGTGACTCAGTATATTCTTTCCATCTTTTAATACTTTCTGGATCATTTAATATTGTGCCTAAAGCATCCTTGATTATAGCAACTCAAGGTTTGAATTTGTTCCTCAGTTCTTTGAGCTTAAGAAATGCTGAGCGAGTTCGGCCCTTTGATAGCATAAATAGTCTAGCAAATATGACCAAAAATACACAAACAGCAGAAGATCAAGTATGACTAGTACTTTTTAAAACTTAAATCCTTATATGCATCTAATAGGTTATCCAATAGAATATAAAAGAGAACCTAGAATAGAAAAAAGCATTTGGCAACGACATATCTGACAAAGGAAAAATCTCTGAAATTTATAGAAAACTCCAATACCTCAACAAGAAAAAACACAAGGCGGATAACAAAATAGGCAATAGACAGGAAAAGGCATTCCAGCCACCAGAGAAGGACCTGGAACATCTTGTCTGCTTAATAAAACTTGATTTTCTCTTAATAAAATTTTGTTCCTCATGTACCTGGTGTCTGTGTTTGTGTCTCTGGTAATGTACTGTGGAGGGAATGTGCTAGAGCTCTACAAGGCAGCCTATTGTGGGAAATCATCCAAGCCATCAGGGCTGAGTCACAGACAAACAACAGAGGGGAGGCTGGGAGGGCTCGTGAGGCGCTGCAGAGATGCGGCTCCTCAGAAGGACAGGCCGTCTCCTCTCGTGCAGTCTCGGTGACGAGTCGGTATGGACTCAACGGCACACAACCATAGTTAGGGAGTCTTGATTAATGACGAGAAATGAAGCTTTAGCGCAGCTAAGACCACCGTGGAGGACTTAGAAAGGAGGACCACATGGCTGTCCTTCAGAAGACCATGACACTGGGCATGCCCTGGCATCCTCCCCCTCCTCCCATGACGGCTGAGGTGAGAGGCCGTGGTACCTGCAGGTTCGCCCTCACAAAGGGCTTCGGCGGGTGCACACACTCGCCCTTGCAGGGGTCCCCCAGGCAGCCCCGACAGTGCTCCTGCCAGTTCTTTTCCTGTAGCGGCTCCCGCCAGGGTTTGGTGTTCGTTATTGGCTCAAACCAGGAAACACCAGGCCCATAAAATCTCGGCACATTTTCCTTCCTGGGTCCACGCTTCACGTTCTCAACAGGAACAAACCACGAAATTCCTATAGGAAACATTTTTTTTAAATGTGTGAGGAAAGAAAACCCCCAAACCTTTCTTCCCCAGTTCTGTTTTTCATCGCTCACAGAGCTCTCATCAGAGACAAGCAGAGACAGGTTCTCGGGGCAGTGAGCACCAGAGGCAGCCTGTACACTCGAGTGTAGCTCAGCTACAGGAGTGACCTTGTGCGATACTGCTCGATACTGAGAATGTGCCAGCGTGCACCAGACCGTGGCTACGCACAGTCCTCTACAAAGAACAGGGACACACTAAGAAGTGTGAGAGTTGTCAGTTTTCGACAAGCAAAGCTCGAACTAGAAACTGACCTTCATACACATCTGACTTGGTCTTCCTCAACTTTCTGTCCAGGGGGTACGTGGCTGGGAAACTTTTTGCTTCGCTTTTCTCTTCTGACAGAGAAGAGCCCACATTGCTCTCCTCTTCTAATCGAACTTCGCTGGAGCTTGGCGTTGGGAAAGTCACCCCCACATCCCGGGTGTGTTTTCTCACACCGTTCACGATCTCCAGGTTCCCTGAGGAGAGAGAGCACAGGGCTGCTCTTTTATTGAGGACGCCACTTGAGGGAGCACTGGTGGCTTAGTGGTGAGGGGCTGTATTGCCAAACCAAAATGCACGCAGTTCAAATCCACCAGCTGCTCTGAGGGACAAAGGTGGGCCATGTCCCACCTTGTGACTCACGGCCTCCGAAAACCTGCTGGGGGGTCAGCTAGGAGTCAGTTCCCACTAAATGGCAATAACAACATGACCACACAACTTCAGCAGCAGTCTCGATGTATGACGGTGGCTCAGACCTCATCTAAGGTACTTCCAGCTTCAACAGTCCACACCTCTGAGAACCTGACTGATTCCAAAAAAAGAGGACTGCGAACTTACCACCCAGTCTAGACCTCACATGGACCCTACTTTGCACTGAACCCACATCAAACACCCTTCTCCAAGCTCTTGCACCAACTCACTTCTCTTTCGTGAGTGGTCTCATGACTCCTTTGGGGTGTCAAGTTCCTCCTGACAATGAGTCAAGGAACCAGAATTCAATGATTAAAGCGCTCAGCTGTGGACCCAAAGGTTGGTGGTTTGAATCTACCCGGTGCTCTTCAGGACAAAGGAGGCAATCTCCTTCCATAAGATTTACTGCGTGGAAACTCTAAGGGCAGCTGAGCCCTGGCCTGCATGGCTGCTAGGAGTGGGAACTGACGTGGTTTCAGTGCAGGCACGTCCATGTCGCTAACCCCTTCCAAAACACATTTCTAGGGGACTGACAGGTACTTGACCACACCAAAGGTTCTAAGTCTGCCAGATACTAGAGAAACAGAAATAATGGATTCAGCAAGTACAGAGGTTAAGCCTGCACCCCGGTGTGTGAGAAAGGCAGCAAACCTTACGGTGCCCGAGGCTGTCACTAATAGGAAAAGAGCCTGACAGAAGCAAAGGGGAGACTTGAGGAAAAAACCAACCTAAGTCAAATGCACTTATTTTTGTTTTCCAAACCAAACAGTAGAGAAAAGTAAAAAGTGCATGGTCTCCTTCCCAGCCGCTCGATTCCAGCCCACTATTGCAGGTATTTCTCCTCTGAGCTCCAGCAGCTCTTCTCCCACTTCTCGTTCTCCAGTGCATGCTCTCCGCTGCTGTGGCCTCAACACACTGAACTGCAGTACATCTCTAGGGGTTCGAATCCACTAACAGCTCCTCAGGGGAAAGACGGACCAGTCTCCTCCCGTGAAGATGTGCAGCCGTGGAAACCCAGGGTGGGGTGGCTGGGAGTCAGAACTGACTTGATGATGGGGGGTGATGGTGGCGTGTGTGTTATGAGACCCAGTAAGCACTCATGTGCCTCAGCGGAGAAGCTCAAACCTGAGAAGCATACCTGCCTGGACTCCCTTGTTGGACATGTGGACACTCAGCTTGCTGCAGGGCGTGAGGGTTGAGCTCCAGAAGCTGCTGGTTGTAGATGACATTGAGTCAGAAGAAATTACATGCTCTTCCATCTGAAAAAGGGAAAAAAAGCACAGGGATCCTTTATTCTCACCCAAGAACGACAGTACGAGACCCCCCAGGGTGAGCAGGCCCACAAGCGCCTGTCCAGTTCCCTCAAAGCCCATTAGAGGGAGTTGTGGACGGGTCAGCATTGGCCTGAGCTAGCGATGAGAGCACATCTGTGGCTGAACAAGGACCCAAGTTCAGGAAGGTCAAACAGATCGGCCAGGCACATTCCCCAGGTCCAAAACACCCCATGCTAGCCAACAAGTGACTCAGTGGAGTCCTCAGAGGGAAATTCTGACTGGATGTTTGCACAGCATTTCAATGAGCTCTCGCCCTCTGTAGAGGGCAGGGGATAAGTAAAAGGAAGTGGCGAGCTGAAGACCGTGGTCTCTGATGAAGTCAGACGTGGGCACTTATGTAAGGACAGACATGACCTGAGAAGTCCTGAGTGAGTGTGGTATGGGAAAAACCACAAAGAGAAAACATAAACAAGCCCCAGCAGGCCGGGGCTGCTGTGCTCCCAGCAGAAGCGACCAAGGCCAAGTCCACAGAGGGAAGCTGAGGGCAGGTCAGAAAAGGAGGCTCGGGTCCAAAGAGCAGCATTTGCCCAAGACGAAACAGAAAGAGGGAGGACAGAAGGGTTAACTGAAGTGAGGGCTACAGGGAGCAGTGGGAATGTGTGACTGCTGCAGCTTGTTGGTGTCTGCTGTCCAGTGGGATCCGACCCATGGTGGGTCTTCAGAGGCAGTGGGTAAACCACACGGGAGGCGACTGCCCATCCTTCTCCTGCAGAGCTGCTGATGGATTCAAACTTTTTTGACCTCCAGAGCTTCCTAAAGTGCATTTACTTTGTATTTAATGCAATTAACATTAGATCAAAAATGTACAAATGGCTGAGTGAAAAAACAAATATGCTTTGTAAATTTACGTCAAATCACAATACAAAGGGGGGGAAACTATTATCAGAACAAAACAGAACAAACAGCATAAATTGTAACTCTCAACCTGGCCTGATGACAAAAATCTCCTGGGAGGGGTGGGGGGAGAGCCCTCAGTCTCCATGGAGGGGCTGGGCACTTCACCTCTGAATACACACCGACTTTCTAACCCAGCAAGTGTGGTACAGTGAGAACAGTGTCTGCTCTCCTGACTGCTGCACTGGGCTCACGCACAGCGGGACAACGTGCTGCACCCTCCCGCGACCAGCCTCAGGTTTGAACCTCGTGGTCCACACTCTCTCAACAGTTGACTCCTGCAAGCAAATCACCAGGCCTGTCTGCACATATCTCCGTCAGAGACATGTTAAGCACAAAACATTCCCGACTCCACAGACATGCGGGAGGCAGCTGTGTATCAGGTGTAGCCGCCAGGAACTGAACCCAGGTCTTACATCAGAGGTGAGCATTCTACCACACAAAAAACGTGTAGCAGAGTCCTGGGGGGAATATTAGATACTGGCAGACAGGGAATGTTCTTCTGGTCCTTGGAAAGTTGTTAAAATAAATACCAGAAACTGGTGAGTTTAATACTGATGGTCTATAAATTTCTGGAACTTGTCACTAATGTCATGATTTGAAAGCATTTGAGGTCAAAGAAAAGAAGAGCACATTTTAGCCAAGGCTTTACTAAGCCAGGACAGGTCCTGGCCAACCAGCCTCAGGCATTTTTGAAGGTTGAACCACCCTATCTAAATATTCACAAAGCACCACTCATAGGCCCCCTCCTATAGGCATCTGGCCAGTCCTGCATAACTTCTTTTTTCTCCCATGTTGTGTACTGTTGAAATCGGATCCGACTGGCACAGGAGATTGCCGTTCCTCCAGTGGGGCATTTGGTGGATTTGAACCGTGTGCCTTCAGGACTGCAGCGCAACTTCTTGCCACTAGGCCACCAGCTCCCTCCTGCGTAACCTTTTCTCTATCTTGAATATATGAACAGTAGGGGAATTTACCTACAATGGCACATCTAACAGGGCCTAAAATGGGCTGTGCGGATTGCAAATACTAAGAGGCCTAACAGCCCAAGTCAAACAGGTAAATGGTACATGAAGCCCTATCCATCTGTCAGTGAGAAAACCAACTGTGAGAAAACAGAGTCTGGAGTCCAGGAATCGAGTCCCTTTGGAACTGTCATTCCTTGAGCAAGTGACAACCTTCCAGGCATCACACCCCACCTAGAAAAGGGGACAGGATCTGTATTTTTAAAATAATGTTAGGAAGAATAAGTGATGGGCAGGGCAAACTGTAAAACATTAACAGAAAACTGTCACACTGTTATGGAAGGCTGGTGGCTTAGTGGTAAGGAGTTGCACTGCCAATCCAAAGGAACATGGTTTGGATCCACCAGCTGCTCTGTGGGTGAGAGATGAGAGTCTCCTTCCGTGTGATTTACTGCTTCTGAAACCCCCCCCTCGAAGGTCAGCTATGAGTCAGTTTCAATTCGATGGTACATGGCACTGTTGCCACGGCGGGCAGTGCACCTTCCAAGGGCAAGCACTGTCCTTGGGCACTCAGGTTGGCAGAGGCTGCTATTCCAGCCAGAAATATGCAGCCCTGACTGGGTGCTCAGCCGGCAGCCATGCCCTCTAAGCAGACATGACCCCTGTCCTGGCACCTCTGAGGGCAACAGGAACTCTGCCCCAGGCTGGCGTTGAGCCCTGCACATTCCACAGAGCCAGAGAAGGTGTTATCGAGGGCCCAGGCAGTCTGTGCTCAGACAAGCAGCAGCAGGGCCCTGTCTGGGCAACCCAACCTCCTCTTCAACCAGCAGACAGACAAGCCCTCACCAGACATTCCCTTAACCCAACAGCCGTGGCCAGAGCACCAGGCAGATCTCAAACCCTCCTTTTTATCTCTCTCCGTGTTTCTTTCCTTCCCATTGTTTTTCTGGCATTTTTCTTTATTTCCTTTTTCATTTTGGACTCCCCTTCTCTCATTTCACCCATCTTCTCTTCACCTCTTTCCCTGGCCTGTCTTTTTGCCTCTAACTTTCTATTCTAATTCTCATTCGTTTTGTACCCCTCTTATTTAGGTCCCCTGCTTCTTTTACTGTCCAATCTTATTTTTGTTTTGTTTCCCTTTTTCTTTGTCCTGCCTAGCAACAGACAGCAACTGTGCCCAGACAGACAGACAAGACACACACACACACACAGCACTCCTGCAGCTTCACTCAACTGGACAGGAGCTTCTAGTCTACGTGATCCACGAAAGCCAGCAGCTAACACCAGTCCTCCCTCACCGCTTTACACAGTGAAGAAACCTATACATACACACCTAACTCTATCTGCTGTCACCTCACCACAGGAAAGGAGACACACTAAGAATCGTCCCCTTACCAACCTTCAAAGCACATGTGCATGGCTCCATCTACTGGATACATTAAAACAAAATAACACAAGAGACAACACTACCACAATACCTTGGAGGAAAGTGGTAACTTTAAACCAGTCCAAAAAAATAAGCAAAAGATGAGATTTAAAAAAAAACCCCAAAAAACAAAGAAACCGACGAAAATACAGAACCAGAGAATCTTTTAGAAGAAGAATTTCACACTACTTCCTGTTCAAATGCAAGAGAGTGATAGCTTAATGTCTTCATTGGATTAAGAAATCAGGGAAATTGCAGACAAATCAAGGAAAACAGATACATCTCTAAAAGATGTCCAGAAGACAACAACAACAACAAATACACAACAAGTATAAATAGATAAACTAGTTGGAAAATTTGAGGCAATACAAAACAAGCAAATGGAAGTTTAAAATAGCAAAACTAAAACTGCAGATGAGATGTTGTATGTAGGACATCAATCTGGAACAAGAGCCTACTGTGAGGTGGAGGAGGGAGAGGGGAAACGTGCGACAATGAATGAATCAAACCCCAAACTTTCTGTAAATGTTTGTTAAAATAGAAAAAAACAAAAAAGTATATATAAAACTGCAGAAACAAGTAACATATTGGAGGACAAACGAGTAGAACTGAAGAAATGGAACACAAAGTTAGTGAGATAGAGGACAAATCCAGCAATACTCCTGTGAGAGGAACAATCAGAAAAAAGAAAACAATGAGAAAAAGCAAAAGAAAAAAAAACACACATACACCAAAACCAAAATCACCACTACATTCCAAAACAGCAAAAGAGCAAGATTTTGCTGAGACAAACAAAAGGGACATCATTAAGAGGGAAAACTCACTTGACACTGGCATTCAAGAAAAGGAAGAGGAGAAAAAAAGTAGAGAGGAAATCACTAAAGATGTGTGGGAAGAACATGAGAAAACATGCATTCATTAAATTCACGAAGCTGAACAAACCTCAGACAGGAGAGACTTCAATAGGAAAATGCCAAGACAAATCATAATAAAAAACTCCAAAATGAAAGGCAAAGAATACTGAAAGCAGCTCAGAAAAAACAAAAGTAGTTATCTACAAAGGAAAACCAAGACTGAGCTTCAATTTCTCAGCATATGTGCCATGCAGGATAGAAGGCAATGAGATATAGGAAACTCTTAAAGAAAAAAAATAATCACAAAAAGCTAAAAAACTTCAACTAACAATTAATATACGCTGAAAAAGTTCCCTCAAATATGATGGTATTTTTCAGGTAAACAGAAACCAAGGGAACCTGTGAAAACTAGATAAACTTTACAAGAAATAATAAAGGGCATTCTTCAAACAGAATTAACAACAGAAAACAACTGAAAATTAACACATATGACAATATCATTCAAAAACGGACCCAGACACAGAAATACAGAAAGTAAAATAAACTTACAGGCTAAAAACAGAGAACCTGAGGGCTCAGGCTGGAAAAGAAGACAACTATCATACAAAAAGATTAAAAATGAAGAGGAAATTAAGGCAATTTCAAGATAAGGTGGAGTGTTTTAGACTTGAGAATAAAATCCTAACTTCTAGGTTAGCTTCAAAGAATAGTAGTCATAAAGTTCATCAAATTATAAAAGGAAAATCATAAAAGATTCAGTAAACAGGGAAAAAAAAAGACAAGCCA